CTTTAGAATATTCAACATTGCATTGGAAAACTTTCGTGTAAACGTTTCTTCAATTTAAAAACGCGTGCGCCGCGTGAAATAATGAGGATCGAATATTCGAGCGAAATTGCAAAGTTTCGAGGGATAAAATTTTCTATGAAAATATTTTTCCAAAGTTCGATATCGTGCTCGTGGAGGAAAATCAATAAGGAGAAGTGCTACGAGTTGGCACGCGTTGTAATTAATCAAAATTGCAAATTTAATAAAAACAATCGAGAAATCGAATATTAGAGGAGATTTCTTAAAAGTCGAAATTTCTGGAATTTTGAGAAGAATTAAATCGCGCAGAATATTTAATAACACGAAAGTTTGGAGAAGGATTGAAAATACTTTTCTTAAACTTAACTTTCGATATTACTTGCACGGATAACGGGTGATCGAATGATCGAACGGGTCGATATCCGGAGCTGTTATCAAATTAGTGGGAAACTTTCAGGTACGTGGACGAGCTGTTGTACTGGAGCGGCAGGCGGCTCACGTTAGACGAGTGCCTTCGTGATGATCTGACGCCGCACAGGTTAACACCGACCTGGATAACCCACGACAAGTTTGTCTACCAGGCCGACGACGGTTCCCTCACACTCCTGGACACAAGCAACAATTCCGTGTCCCTTCTCGTCTCTAATCACACGCTCGTACGTATCACGCGGTTCGCCAATGGCCGAGGTTGAACTTTGAGCATCGAGTTTTAGAGTGCACTCTGTTAAATTAGAGCGCACGAAGGATTTTATTTTAACGCATTCGCGACGAGTGACTGTGGTTTTCTCTCTCTCTCTCAAAGATGAGAGATGGACAAGATTCTTTTTATATTCCGTTTTCTGCTTCGCGCCTTCTTTCATAATTTATTTTTATTTCGAATATTTCGCCGGAGATCGTATGAATATTGTTAAAGGAACATTTCACGTTATATTTCACTCGAGTTGAAAACGGTTTCTGCATTCAATAATTTTTTATTCGCGACACATCGAAAAATGGGATGACGGCGTATATAGACGCGGTCTAATTCGGCAATGGTGCGACGAAATTCGAGCGAAAATTGTCATGACAATGTCCTGTGAAAGCTTTGGTCGGACAATAGTCGAAATTGCGCGGGCAAAACATTAATTCATCCATTAGAAGACAATGGAGTGCACTTTTTAAAAATCCTATCAATTCGAATGTAGATAAATAATATTCCCTGCGAAATTTTATTAATATCTGATGATCTATTTTTCATTTTTTGGCAACGAAGAAGAACAAAACAATTTTCATTTTCGAAGAAACGAAACTCGTTACGAATTTGCATAGCTCGCAGTCGTGCATTGCATTTCAATCCCTCTCTATGCATCTTTATGAAGCTAAAAGATTTAAGAGACTCGAGTAAAATGGACGAAAGATTCTTGGCTCGAATCGGTTTCGAATTAAAATCGGCGCAGAAGCAGCCACGACAATTAAAATTGTCCCGGCTGTTAATTAATCGAACGTCCAAGTGCAACGGCCTCGTTCAACCGAGCGTTGAGCAAGTATTTCAAGTCGAGTCTAATACAATTTCAAAATTTCGATCGAACGTTTCTTTTTGTTAATCAGAATTTCTTAAAGCTTAAAAAATTTCTTGGACAAATCTCCAAAGAGGATTATAAATTTCATCGCACGAACGAGATTAATTAAACAGCCGAGAAACCATCCTTGCGGAATTCATCGTCGAGGTTAATCGCAATTAAAAAGCACTTTTTCTTAAAAAAAAAATTCCAACGACGCCTATTCTCGTTAGAATATAACAATATATATATAAACAAACTATAACTTTCAAAATAATTAATAAATATAGCAGATAATCTCAGATAATTAATTCAAATTGACAACACGGAAAGATATCATTATGACAGAAGAGAAATGAATTCTAATTTTCAATAGTATAACTAATAAATCCAAACAGTAGAAGAAGAATAAACCTTGAAATTTCAATATTTTCCCCACATTAATTCGGAAATGGAGGAATGGAAATTAGGGGACGAGAAAAATTGCTGCTCTATAATTATGAAAGAGGACAACAAAATAAAGGGATCTTAACATCGAGTATCAAACGTCCTTTCGTTCTTATCTATCGGTGGAGGTGAATTTAGCCCGCGGCGCGCCATAAAACAAAGAGACTAACTCGTATATATATATATATATATATAAAGGCAAAGTTCGAGGTATTCGGTTTATTCAAGAGAAAAGGGGTTCGCTCCCTCGTCCGCCTCGGCGCTATTGCATTTTCCGCTCGGCGGAAAATGATGCCCGCGTGCCCGTGGGGGAAACGATCGCCTCGTGGAACGAAAAAAAAAAAAGAGAAAAGAGGAGGGGAACAATGAAGGAGTATAAGTAAATTTTGAAAAAAAAAAAAATGGCGAAAAAATCGTTCTAAAACGGGTCGCTAATGGACGAGGAGAAGGGGTTTTGTTGGAGAAGCGACAACGTCAATTTGCCACTCGTTAACGAAGGATCTCGTTCTCGTTTGGCCGACAAATGGAGGAATATGAGAATACGATTGAGGGTAAATAGTGTTGGTTGGCTGCGGTTGGCCTGGTTAATGAGCACGCAGTGTCGACGATCGCTTGTCGATGCTTTTGCTGATTCGAGAAGAAGCAGTTCGATGCGCTCGTCGACGGATGGAAGAGGCTCTCTCTCCTCTTCTCGCTTGCTTTAATGTTAACGAAATCGAACGGTGACTCGAGGACTTTCCTCCTCGGCGACGAGTGAAGTGTGATCGTTTAATCGGGCAAATGAGATCTTTTTGGGGATTGCTTCGATAAGAGAGATTTCCATTTCTTGAGAGATCAACTTTCAAACTTTCTGTTCACTTTCTTCTGTTCGATAAAATGATTCGATAATAATAAAGTGATTGGATAAACTTTAAAGAAAATTTCGGGAATAAATTTATAATAAACGCGTCATCATCGAAAATAAGGATAAAATTAATGCGCGTAGATAGATTGGGAAAATAATAGGGCGTATCGTTCGGGTATCTGATCTAAAAGGCCATTGCACGTGGACCGGCGCTTCGAGGGGTTGTTCCGGAAAGTTGGAAGCTCTGCTAACTTTACGAGGGCAGCTAACGATCGTAAAGTTGGCGCTAGCCAAGGGAAATGGAAAATGCATAAGCCAGTAAATCTTGGCCGACTTTATTTCCAGAGACAGCTGAACGTCCAAGGCTACCAGTGCAGCGCCGATCTGCGTTACGTGTTGTTCAAGCACAATGTCAAACCGGTGAGTAACGAAAACGATTCGAATCGACTCGTAACTTTAACTTGTCGTTCTCTTCCTCTTCTTATATAATTCAGCTTGAAATGAAAAATTCCTCTTTTATCAATATTTCACATTTTTGTATCGCACGAGTATAAATGTAACGAAACGAAGTTCGATTTAGTTTTTCAATACAAATGAAATTTTCGTAACCCCGACACGTGTCATATCATGAAAATTTCTTATTTCTTCTATCGCAGCTGTGCATCGTTGAATATTTCCGAAATATCCGGCTTTTTGTCAACACGTGTTCGGTACAAGTGTTGCCAAAAATCGGTATGCACAACCATTTTATATTCCGTTCCATTTTTCACGACTTTTCGAAATCGACACGAAAGAATTCCCCCCTTTGATTTTTAATTGAAGAAAATTTTCGGACACGTTCCCCTTAAAATAACAAAATTCCCGTTTTCAGGTGTACAGGAATACGTTCACCGCTTACTACACAGTCTACGACGTCACGAACGAGTGAGCAAGCATTCCAACCAACTTTTTTCCCCATTTCTCCTTACCTTAATTCTACTTATCCAACTCATCTTTCTTCCCTAGCCACCACACGCCTCTCCGTCTGCACACGTCGCGGGGGATGCAGCAAACGCGGCTGCAACACGCCGCCTGGTTGGGCAACACGTCCGGCATCCTGATGATATCCGAGAACGACATCTACGTGAGGATAGCGCCCTCGGCGGCAGAGGACGCGAGGATAACCGACACAGGTTTGCCCGGGGTGATTTACAACGGGGTGCCGGACTGGTTGTATCAGGAGGAAGTGTTGCCGCGGCCGGAGGCAGCCTGGCCCAGCTCGGACGGCACGCATCTCCTCTTCGCCTCGTTCAACGACACCAAGGTCACTGCCCTGGAATTCCTTGGTTCAGCACGCAACCGGGTCAGGATGGGCCGAGCTCCAGCCCCCTGTTCACGCCTAGGAGAGGCTCCTTCCCGCCCTCGAGGTCCGTCAGATACCCCACTCCCGGCTCGCCCAATCCCGAGGTCGAACTGTGGATCATGGAGCTCGGCAACTTGACCAACTCGATCAATGGAACAGCCAACTCGACGAGCCTCTCCAGGATAAGGTTGAAGCCGCCCACCGCTTTGGACGGACAGTAAGTTCGAAAAGAAAGATCTCGTTGAAAATTGGACACTCTTCCCCAACGATTTATCCCTTAGCGAATATGAACGAACAACTTTTCATCAAACGCGCCCCCTCTTCCACAGGGAATATTATCTGATATCCGCGGGCTGGGTGGGCGACGACTCGACCCAGGTGGCCGTCGTCTGGATGACCAGGTCGCAGAATCTCTCGTTGGTGACGGCTTGCCGAGCGCCAATGTGGGAGTGCGAGGAGACTCATTCGGAGAGGGCGCCTGAAGGACAGTGGTTAGACGCCCAGCCTCATCCCCTGTTCGCCCCGGACGGGGACAGCTTTCTACTGCTGGCCGCCGTTCAAGAGGGCGACAAGGAACACTTCACCCACATCAAACACGTGACCTTGACTCAGCAGAGGATAGCGGTCTTGTCTCACGGTCGTTACGAGGTTAGATTGAATCGATCGATACGAATCTATTTTTAGAATTTGCGTACGCTTATTCTTCCCTCCTCCATCGCGAAGGTGAGCGAAATCTTAGCGTGGGACACCAAGGCCCATTTGGTGTACTATTTGGCCACGAGGGAGAGAAGGCCCGGTCAGAGGCATCTTTACATTGTTCGAGACCCCACTGCTGACGATCCTCGACACCTCGAACCGTTATGCGTCACGTGCGACCTTGGCGAAGTCCTCTGGAGCAGTAGGTGAGCATCTTCGTCGTAACAATTTGTTCGTAACAACTCCGATACAATCGTCCCGTTGCAGATTTTATTACACTAATTGCACCCACTTTGGCGCGTCCGTAAGTCCTCCGATGGAGAACGAGTCATCTGGCTACTACGTCCTCTACTGCGAAGGTCCGGGCCTCCCTCTGGCCGCTGTGCACCTGATTACCACCCACAAGATGATCCGCGTGTTGTACGACACGAGGATCCAAAGAGGGGACAAGCTTTCGCAATTGGCGCTACCAACTCGAAGAAGCTTCGAGGTAATTTGTAAATCCAAAATCCATTTCCAATTTTCTACAATCCCTGACTAACTACTCTCAACTACTACCCTCGCTCAGGTGTCTCTACCCCAAGGCTGGAAAGCTCAGGTACAATTGTTGTTGCCACCTTCGTGGCGAGAGGAGTTGAGAGACGCCGCGTTCCCCGTCCTGGTGGAAGTGAACGGTCGGCCGGGCAGCGAGGCGGTGACCGATCGGTTCAAGATCGATTGGGGGACGTACATGTCCAGCCACAACGACGTGGTCTACGTGAGGCTGGACGTGCGCGGGGCGAGAGGCCAGGGGAAACGTGATCTGTTCAGAAGGATCGGCGGTGTCGAAGTTCAGGATCAATTGACCGTGTTGAAGCATCTTCTCAAGACTCTCAAGTACCTGGACGTGACCAGGGTGGGTGTGTGGGGTTGGGGATACGGCGGCTACGTGACCGCCATGGTGTTGGGTAGCCAGGAGAACGTGTTCAAGTGTGGCGTCGCTGTGAATCCTATCGCCGATTGGCTCTACTACAGTGAGTTGCCGAAAGATCATTACCTTGGACTGTATATTGTACCGTCGAGGTTGTTTACACTCCTGTTCCCCGGATGAGAGTCCTCCTGATCTTTTCGTGCAGATTCCGCGTTCACGGAGCGAGTCCTTGGCGCTCCTGCAGAGAACTACAAAGGTTACGTGGAGGCTGACCTGACCCAACGCGCCAGGTTGGTGCCCAGCCACAGTCTCTACCTTCTTCATGGTCTAGCCGACCTCACAGCGCCTTATACGCACGGTGTCGCCTTCGCTAAGGCTCTGACCGAAGCGGGTATCATCTTCAGGTACCAGGTACGTGATCCTTTAAAAAAGTGCCAGAAACGCGTTTGTTCCATTCGTTTCGTCGAAGCATTCTACGCGTCTCTGACATAGCACGGTTGAGCGATTGACAAAGTTTTTCTGAACAGAGTTACGCGGACGAAGACCACGCCTTGTCAGGCGTGTTGGAACACGCTTATCGTTCCATAGAGGACTTCCTCGCAGAGTGCCTCGCCCTGGACGCGTCCTAGTGCCTCAAGCCGAACGCTCCCTCGTTGTCTCTAGCTCGCCTACTTCTGATACATCCCAGATGGATGTGGATGCTCGTCAAGAAGGCTCTCGTCGTTCAGGACTAGACTGTTAGCTCGGATATATATAGGAAAAAAAAAAAAAAAAAAAAAAAAAAGTAATCAGACGTAACCGCGAGACCTGGTCCTGGAATGTAATCCGATGAATCGTATAGCGTGAAACGAACCGATTAAAAAAGAAAAAGAAAAAGAAAAAAAAAAATGCTAGTCAGAGCCAGGAGATGAGGCGTGAACTTAGCGTTTGTAATAAGTAACCGTTGTATATCAGCCACCTGCATCAGCCTGCGGATTCCTCTTTGCTACTACCAACAACTTTCACTTTTGCTCTCTCTCTGAAAGCGGACATTCGAACATAATTTCTAGTCTATAATCCCCCCTTCTATCCCGACGGCCATCCAGATGGCGCAACTAGCTAGGATTATGGCGCGATTATGGATCGCGGCCGGACACGATTCGAGCACGTGTTGCAGGGTTCGAGGCTCCTCGCGGTTCCTCCTCCTCCATCCTCGCCTCGATCGATCTCTCGCGAAGCAAGAATCGGTGAAGAATCGGTGCCGTGCCTCTCGCAAGCTTGCAAGCTCTCAACTCATTTTTTATACAGCGAAAAACCTTCGAGACACGGACATCTAAGCGAACATCTCGGCGGTATCGAGCTTAGCGCGAGCTTGCAAGTTCGCGTTTTTTTATATCGACACGTACACACGCGCGCATTCATCCCGCTCGAGACATTTGTATATCGCTCCGCTTTCCGAGGATGTCGAGCCTGTGTCGATGATAAGCTTGCAAGCACATCAATCGCCTTCTTCATCTCTCTCTCTGTCTTTCTCTCTCTCTCTACGAACGAGTCGCCTTTAGATCGAATACAACAGACGCAGAGCTTGCAAGCTCGCGACGTTTTCCCTCTTCGATTACATCGGTCTCTACCATGATTCCCCCTGTCTCCTGTACCGACGTGACACACGCACATACATTTCATTGGTAGAAACGAAGAACGCCTAGTGTTAAGTTTTGCGTTGTGTACAGCTTCGCCCGCCTAGTCTGTGTGTATCGTAATGTTACGCGTGAAGGGGAGGAGATAGAGAAGAAAAAGGAAGAAAAACAGAGGAGAAGGGAAGGAATATTTCCTTCCATCGCTATATATATACATTCATAAATACACGCGCACACACGACTCCTTTCCACCGTTTGATTCCTCGATATTTGTATATATCCTCGTGTCTCATTAAAACGAGTCCCTTGGAAAGCGTTCCCCTTCGACGAGGTGGTTCAAGCGTGTTTCCCGTTTGTCGTTGATCGTTTGTTGTATTATATATGGCTAAGTTGTATACTATAACACAACACAGTTTCCAGATTAAATAAAGTATCGATTAAGTAAGTTAAGCGCGACGCGAAGCTTTAGGATAACCTCGTTCACCTCGTATACTTTAGCCCGTTCGAAAGGGAGGGACCTCGTCGTCGAGGGCAACGTGTACATCCCTTCATCGTATCTCCTTTCTCTCGATCGAAATCCCCCATCGATCCTGGGGGGGGGGGGGCTGAAGAGGATTCATCGATCGTAAGATCGATGATCCTAGAGATCAAAGATCTGGAATTCCTTCAGGGAACGCTCGAGATCAGACGCGGTTGATGTTGGAGGATAATCGTTCGAGATCGATCGATCTTGCGGGACTTCCACGAATACACTCCTCGGCCCTTCTCGTTACTCGAAATCGATCCACCATAATTGTATCTCTATGTGTCTTTTCAAATTTGTATACCGTGAATCGGATTATTCCTATTCCTAACTCTCTGGATCATTCCGGGTATCCGAAAAGGTGGAGAAGTCTTTTTCGACTCGTAAGTTCGATCGAGACGGGACAATTTTTCACGGTTGATAAAAAGAGAGAGAACTATAGGAGGAAAAAAAAAATAATAATAATAATCGAACAAACTATATCGCGCTCGAACGAAGAGAGTCGCACGTCGCCATAAACGCTGCCTGCCAAGCAGCCCTTAAATGCCGACAATCAAGGCTAGTGCAACTAATCAAACGATAATAAATAGAGAAAAAAAAACGGAGAGGATGAAGAAATTTACCTAATAATAATTAATGAATTCTTAGAGATGAGTGATCGATGATGGTTCGTCCACGTGATTGATAGGCGTGGCTGAGGACCTCGGCGATGATCGAAGGGATGAATTAGAAGAGGATGATACCCTTCGATCGTACGATAGTAGACGTGGCAAATCGATTAGATCGAAATTACGTGCTTGATGTCGATCGTAGAGAGTACAAAAAAAAGTGAAACCGCGCCCGATCAAGGAATCTTTCCTCGAGCATTCGAGAAATTCGAATCAACGAAGTGAATTAAATCGGAGATTAATGGAAATTATAGAAGAAAAATTTGATGTATCAGCTTTTCTCGATCCAATTTGTTTTGTTACATATATATATGTAAAAGAAAGATTTAAAATCGTAAATAATTGTTCTTGTAAAAATTAAAAAAGATGTTTCTTACCTTCTCAAGTTTTTCCACTGTGATTTTCATGACGTTGAATACCGATAAAAAGAAATTGAAGTTCTTCTCGAGGAGGGGTTCCTTGATCGCGCGAGAAGGACAGACACGCATTAGTGTTAAACCACATTGTAAAAGTTCATTTTTCGTGAGTAATCTTCCTTGAAAGGGAACGTGAAGGAAGAGAGGGATGAACGGAAGAAAGATGGAACGAGAGTGGAAGCGAGAATGAGAGTGAGAGTGAGTGAGAGTGTGCAAATCGCAATCAATTATTAACTTATAATAAACGGCAAAAAAAAAAAAGTGCGGCGAAAAACATTAAAACGTAGGCGTATAAGTATCGGTCTCACGAACACGGCAGGCACGCAATAAAAATAGAGAGAAACAAATAGAATTGCAAGCGGGACAACTGCAAAACAGGATAAGCGAAATTGAATTGCAGGCATGCGATTGGAACTAAAGGGAATTAAAGTCGTAAGAAAACTAAAAAAAAAAATAATAAAAATGAAAACCTTGGTAGCAGCGCATAAGGGTATCTATAAGCTTTTGGTAACGTATTATCGCCGCTAGGCTAAAGAGAATTAAATTAAAAATAAAAAAAAGAAAAAATATATATATATATTATACAATAAAGAGGAAAAAAAAATAAATAAATAAATGCGACACACAGAGAAAGAGAAGACACACACGCAGGACATCGTAAATTATTGCAATTGACGCGGAAGACTCGAGTTTAATGTATCGGGCCCGTGCGAAAAATTTCGGACGAATTTCAGCGAATTATTTATATCGATTAATGATTCGCATGTCCGACCACGCGAAATCGCCCGTCGACGTTCAACGATTTCGAGATGACGAGATGAAAAAAGTAGAAAAAAAAAAAAAAAAAAAAAAAATAAAATAATAAAATGAAATAAAATAAAATAAGAAGAGATCGCGAGCGTTTGTGTTATAACGTAACGGAGAAAATTAATCGATAATAATTAATAAGGCGACTAATTGAAATTATTTGGATAATCTGTGATACTCAGATTGACGATTATTATTCGAATTAGACGGTGTTTTTAACGTCTATCCTACTCGAACATCGAGGTATTAATAGATAAGGTATTACCGATAAACGAAATTTTGCTCTTTTTGTAAAGAGCCCTTCGAACCGAGTCCGAGTCTCTCGACGATAATCGATGTTAATTTAATAAATGGTAAACGCGATGCTCAAACGATATTTCTTCAGGATTCTTGAAATTGTTGTTACTAAATTGTTATTCTAAATGTATTAGCGTTTCTAGCTCGTCGAAAATACCACCTCTTCCTTGTATTCTATATTTCTCAATGTTTCATTGTGCGACCGTTTTAAAACTTTTTTTAACGAACGTTTTTTAAAAAGCATGGAAATATATCGCAAAACGTGATCAAATTCGAATTTAACGTGGGTTAAGAAAAATATCGTTACGAAACGATATTATTGTATTCACTTAATTTCACTTCGCTGCGTATACCATATATCTTCGAAGTCTCGTTCACGACAATACCGACTGTGCAACTTTTCACCTAACCTATATTTTTAACTCTTGGGTCGAATATCAAATTATTCCTTTTCATACCATTGATAGCATTCGAATTCTTGCATCTTTAACGAACATTTTCATACGAATCTTCAAATCTTATATAAAATATTCGTATGAATTGCGAATAAAATATCGTGTTGATTAAAAAATCAAATTTAGAGAAACTTTTGAGTATTATAACGTAAGGGTTTACGTTAATTTTCCACGATCAATGAAATCGATCGACGAAATTGGTTCACTCTCGAATGATCTTCTAATGCTCGATGTATGCCAAAGGAAGTAATCAATCGTATCGATGTTCGCATTGTTCGACGACCTCGGACCCGGTTGGCCCGGCCTTTACTCAACGACGTTATACATTACGTATATATATCAGACACTCCTCGATGCGGACAGCATCTCGAAACTACGTCTGAATGATCAGGTTCAATCGATCAGTACACTCGGAAGCGTTGAGTCGAGATAACTGGCCATCGACTCGTTGAATTCGATCGTGCTCCGCGAGTGTGGCCGACGCGATCGGACAATTGTTTTTTATATAATATCCGCTCGGATCATCAAGCGGGCGTTAATTAATCGTTCGAGATAAGAGAAGTGCGTTCTCGATATGTTTCTCGTGGGAGACGAGGGCACGCGGATTGTGTTTCCACACGGTTTTTTACGATATTCGCACGGACCTGGAGACCGAACATCCACGAAATCGGCCAAAGGTATCGATCGTTTCCATTAAAAAAAATCCGTTTTCGTAGACGCGAATTGATTACACGATCGAATCGGTTGAAAAGTTAATTTTATTTTCTCAAGCTTTTCGTAAGTTTAATGTTCAATGTTAGAAGAAATTTTGAAAATCGTAAGTTTTAATAATTCTTTCGATCTCTCACGACGCATATACGCATATATTTTTTAGGGGGGAAAATCGTTGAAAGCGTGTTAAAGATTAATCTTTCAAATAATGCGAATAAAAAATAGAATATTTTATAGAAAGTTTTTCCTTTTATTAAAATTCTTTTATTTTCGAAGAACGCCGATTTCGTGGATATCGTTAATAATTCCACGTAAACACCCACGAGATAATCATGTTACTAAGACTCTGCGTTTTTTAATATCAGCGAGACTCGCCCCTGACGGGCAAACAAAAAGTGTTTTCAATAAACTGTTACATTACCTGAAGTCTCTCTCTTGTCGTTTCTCTTTTGTTCCTTTCAATTTAAACTTGCTTTGTATCGATAATCAATGGACAACGCCAATTAATTTCTTCTTTTTTTTTTTTTTTTTGCTTTGCAAATGACGTTGACATTTTGAAGAAAAAAAAAACCTTAAAACATTTTTGCGAAAACTTGGTTGGCAATTATATCCCTCGTGATCGAAAATTATGTCTTTACGACGACATCGCAGAAAGAAACGTTCGAGAAAATATAAATTGATAAATACGCGATATAATAATAATAATAATAATAATAATAATAATAAACGAAAGGTTCATCCTCATTTCGCAAAGCATAGGTAAAATGTTAAAAATATTTTTAAAAAAATATTCTTAACACTTGGATTGATACTTCATTATTCATTGTTTCATCATTTGATATTTTTTTTTTAAGAACAAGCAAGCATTTCTACGCGACCAGGTCGAAGAGCGTGCAACACATTTGCACGAAAGTGGTTTCGAGTCAAAGGGTCGTTCTCTCGAAACAATCATCGGACAGCAGTATAATTTATTTAGGCTCTTTTCGAAAGATTCCCGAATTAATAAATTTGGAAGAGATCGACGAGTTACCGGTTGATGAAAAGGTTCAGTCTTCAAATATCGAGGTAATAAAATAAAATAAAATCGCTTAGATTTATTATTGAATTAACAAATTAATGAATTAATTAACAAAACATAAATTTTCTTTCTTACAGATACAATATAACAAAATTGAAAATTCGTTTCAATAAATTAATTAGAAGTATTTTCTTATTACAAAGTATTTTTTTTTTTTTTTTTTTCCACTTTCATCGAAATCATCAAACTGTCATGGATAATATATTACTCTTCCGCAAAATTACAATTAAACGTAAGTATTATAATTTTTTTTCTTTTCGTTATAAATTAATCTGTATTATCTTTCCTATATTAAACGTAATCGTTCCTTTGATCTTGCAAGGCAGATAAGTGGAGACGAGAAATTTTCTCGAGGAGGATACGTTCTCTATCTCCGCCTTTCCCAACCTTCGCATCACCCCAACTTCTCTGAGAAACGCGCCAGTCAAATAAGGCCTGCCTTCGAGGGCCGTCAATTTCGATAAATCGAATTCCGTGAGGGGGGCGGTATTCACACCCAAAGCGAGCAACTCGGACGGATGTATTCCAAGCCATCGTACGTTCGAACAGGCCAAAGTCTCCCTCTCTCTGGATAACGCGGCCGAGCCGAAACTGCATTTTGGAAAGAGCATATTTCGTGAACTATTTTAACCTCTCCTTGTGATCTTTTTATTAAAAATTTTTTTTCTTAACAATTGTACATATAACTTTATAAGTATTTATAATATACGCGATGTATAATATACCCTCTTTGTTAATTTTTGTTAATAAAAGTATTAATTATATCTACGTGACTAA